CCCCAAAACCCCAAAACCCCGCTAATCAAAAATGCATTAAATACTTAAATTCGGCATTAAATCTTAATTCATAAAAGACCTTACTCAATTATTTGTAATTCTGAACCATTAGGATAATTTTCAAGATGTTTCAAAGAATCAAACAAAAGCCAATAATTAGTATAACCATTCAAAAATACCAGAATATGCCACCAAATATGAGCCTGTCCAAACATTTAAACATAATAGTTGCTTGTCAATCTCTCAGGATATTTGGTAATGTAAAAGAAAAATCCTGCTCCTAGATATCCAAAGGCTTACATTAGCCTCCAAAACATCATCTAAATTTCAATCTATGTTGAATATATTGCTGCCCATGAAAGAGCTACTCCTAGTAGAAGTGTAACTAGTACACTAAAAAATAATATCCTAAATTTTTCAAAGCTGTCTTGCATATAACAAGGAGTGCATTGCATTACAAAGTTAAAAAGCATTAGGAATATCATTAGATAAGTTAGAGAGCCTCCAATATTTGAATAATTATGAAATCCAGTGAAAATTAAGCATATTGCTAAACCGAAAATCATGATTCCGATACCCATTAAGTCAATTTTCAATAAGGTTAGATAGACGTTTCTGCTAATAGAGTTATATAAATGGTAAATAGCGCTACTCATCATAGAAAAAATGCAAGAAAACAATCCAGCGAGAAGTACTGCCTTATTAAAACTCTCTTTCAAATCTTAATAAACTCCTTCGTTTTACAATACTAAATAGACTTGATACATAAAATAAATTCCTCCTGCTAAATGTGTCCAAACATTAAAAGTTTCATTATGTAGCATAAAAAGAGAAGCAGTGCAATTACAAGCACTTAATGATCTATGTGCTCTGTAACCATGACGTATATATTTGATTCTTACGTAGAACACATTTTTCATCTTTTTTACTCTTCTTAAAGGATTTATAAAACTTGAAAGTCTATCTTTATCATTATTATATAGAACATCGCTATTGCTTTTATCTCTTGGGAAACCATTTTCTAAGTCCTTATATTTAGAAGCTGATGACTATTCAATATCAGATCCTTCATCATCAGAATTTAATCTATTTGAAGAGTTCTTAAGATCTTTATCATATTTATCTCTATCTGCATCATCGTTTGAATTATCTATATAGGAAAGGATATAAAAATTTCATATATTTAATTACGATAGGAATGTTGATGGAAAAGCGACTCTAACTTATTTATAAATTTTTTATCCTCCATCGTTTTTATTTAGCTTTGCTATTAGTTTACTAATTAGATTTTCAAGAGCCAATTAACTTGTATCAATCGCCTAATTTTTCTTGGGGTTTTGGGGTTTTGGGGTTTTGGGG